ACAATATCATATATTGGTGTCTGCCCCTTTACTGAAATTCAAGCAAAAACATTTATTGAATATTTTACAAGTAATACAAGAATMATCCAGGACAATCATCTGAAAGTATGCTTCGCCTTTAGATTTCATGATTCCACTATTAAACGATAAAACTTTATGATTTATTTGTGCAAGATTTTCAAAAATGTAATTTCAAAATGAAACACATATCATTTGATGTCTGGATCGAGCAGCAATCAAACTTTAAGAAAAAGTATAATATCGTATGTCGTGAAAGGAGTCTTTCAGAAAGGTGAACCCGAGGAATGACGATAAGCTAAGTAACGAATGACCGTCACGCTTAGGTCACATAAAATTTATTGCGCCGTAAAAAAAGCGAGAGCTGTAAAATTTATAAGTTAAAGACTTCTTAAAAATGGCGAATTAATGGTAATAAGAATAACGAACAGCAAAGGAATTACAAAGACAAATTAATTATTTTTTTAGTGGACTGCACAACCCATGGGATAAAAATATTTATGCATTTCAAAGAATATGTTGATTTTAATGAAATGTTTGTATTGAGTGGGAATGACAAATGTTATCTAGAAAGACTGAAAGTTACTACATTAGAATGTCCTTATTCTAACATTATAAATAATCATAAATATATTTATGTAGTCTTTAATTCTATTTTTTTTATTTTTCAGTTCTATATCAGCTCCTTGCGTTTTATGAGTGAGTATTCTAGTATATAATCCACCTATTTTTCTACATCTAGCGACTACAATAATTTACTATTTAATTAGTAACACCGACTGAGGGGTCACGTAGGGTCTGTCGCTTTATTTCATTCCTCGAGTTACAAATTACTGAATATTTCAAAGTTGTCGCTGGAGAATAAAAATTCCAGTAAAACGAGTTGATTTTTTGGAAATAAAAAAATCTTGGCCAGCACAAAAGAAAATAAAAGTCTTGTAACATCAACAATAGGTTGCTTTGAGAACGTTCTCTATCGAAGAAGGCTGTGTCGTTCCTACCTAGTAATGTGATACCATAGATATACTTATAGCCATGTATGAGTTGGCAGTGGAAAGTTGAATATCATGACCAACTTAGACTTATTTCTAAAACAAAACGTACTAGCAAGGAATAAATAGTTTATGTATTCAAAGTGAAGAGCGCACGATATTTTATAGTATTCGCCCTGCACATATTTTCCAATCTATTTGCCCCATGAATGCTCTTTGCAGACATTATAGACATGGACTCAAGTTGCATACACTAGAATTCGGAATCCCAATAAATCTATTATTGCAAGTTATTGCTCATTAAGAAAGTGAAGATTTTTACATCTCTACATATATTGACTTTTATTGTGTCTGAGAGCAGGCTTTTCTTTCGCGCAAACTTTGGAACGATTTGTGGCACTTTGAAAACAATGACCTCTTTCAATCACTCCAAAGTATGCGCGTGCAAACACCAACAAAAATGCAGCTTAAATTGCTTGTATTTGAAGAGCAAGAACGACAAATRATGYACATGTTATCTTAAGCGTTTTGACGGTGAATGATAGTGTAAAAACTGGGGTGCATTATTAACAGAAACATACTATTATTCCTTGATTACTGACTACCAATAGCATTACTTACCGACCCAAGTAGACACGCTAAGGAAAAGAGCGATCCATGTGCTAACGAACCTCATCTTTTCAACCCAGAAAAGCACTCAGGGCTGAAGCATGAAGGTTCTACTTGCTACAAATACGCTCGCCTTTCCCCGGCAATGCGTGCTAGACAGTAAGCTAATGCTAGTCGACTCGAGTTCAGGCTCTTGGATATCCACGTAACACACCCAGACTCCTGTGAACGGGCCGATACTGATGGATTGAATTACCGTTCAATTGCTTATGGGTCCTTTGTAGTCTGGACGGGGGGAATGACAGTGGTACTCGTCAACAGCGTCCCATAAAGTAGAACTCCAGTCTAGCGCACTTAGAATCAATTATTTCAGAACTATATCACTATATTGGGAGGAATTATCTATTTTGTCGGAAATTGAAGGGAATTTGGTGGTGAACCAGTATACAATTGTGTGACGCGAACAAGAATTACGGTTGTGTCGCATGAATAGCGTGACTTGATCGACGACAACAGACAATTGGTTTTCTCGTCCAAACTGGCAGGGAAACCTGATCTGCGATCTCGACCCTCTTCTCCCATTAGTTACCAGCTCCCCTTCATTCCTTGATTCAAAAGCCATTCAAATAGCGCGTGGAGCATTCTTTGAGTTAACACAGTAACCTTTGACTGATTCAGTAAGAATATAGCCGGCGTCCATAAATTCAATTGCAAGGTTTATATTGCAAAATAGAAATGTCAAGAAAATAAAGTAAAATACAACTTTAGTATACATGAGCCCACTGTGCTTCAAGGCAGTAAAGTTTATTGAAAATGTACTCTTTCTTTTGTGGATACGATCAGAACTRCATGACAAGTAAAGACCTCAACGACGCGGACAAGACCAAAATGAAAAGTGACATAAAAATAGCCGGGACTCAAAATCTCCATCATCATGAAAGTGTTTTATAAGGCGCACTTATTAACAGCTTGGGATCCAATCAATTCCTCTATCTTTGATCGTCAAAATAATGTTGCCATAGAATATGGAAGAATTGGCTGATATCCCTCAACGTAAATCCATTCGACGAAGCATACATGTGTGTTGAGCACACGTGGTCTTTTCCCCAGCCTTGACGGGCTGAGAAAGGATGGAAATGAGACCAATTTTTTTTTTTTTTTTACATTGGCGCAGACAAAACATGCAAGCATAAAACGTAGGAGGAGCCGACGGGTTACACTATGATATTTTTAGGGGGGAAGTTATGCTCCCAATTTTACTGTAATACTTTTCTTGAGTGATTGTAACTTCATTTATTTTGAAAGATTTTACACTAGTTGCATTAGCTGCAAGGGTTTCTTTTAGTATTCTGCGCCATGTTGTCGGAATAGAATGAAGAATTTGCAGGTTGAACATTTTAGTGGAAATACGCGAATTTTTCTACTTTTGTCCCATTGTACCTACTAGCTTTTCAAATTGTAGTTTAGAAAATATTTCCTATTATGTATTGCAGAAGCAATCATGCCAATTCTCTTGTAAAACACTTTCCTTTGTTGAATAGTGTTTAGAAAGCGTTGTAATATTTACAGTGTTTAGATCGGTATATTTATAGTTCAGTCAAAGTAGTCATTGGGCTAGACCGTCTGGCATGTTTTGTGTATTAAAGCACGCGTGTAAAGTATGTGTTGTGAACATTTGAAAAAAATACAGATTACATACTGGTACAGTAGTGTTAAAAAAACCGGATTTCCCATTTGCTTCTTATTAAAGAAATAGTATTTTGATGTTATCTGTTTATGAAAACTTGTTTTTAAAAAAATTTCCAATGCATTTTATATAACAATAGAATTAAAAATAGAAAAGAATTTTTTTTATTTATGGAAATTAGCTAGTTTACTTGCACTTTGTTCAAGACACTGTTAATTTAGCAGGTTTTTTTGGGGAAAAAAGTGCAGCTTATACATAAGTTAGGAGTTTTTTACATGATGTTGGTTTCCATAAAACAAGAGTTAAAACAACAACCCTCGGGCAACCTAAGTGATGTAATGGTGTCTAAATATGGCATCCAGCTTACTSAATTGAAAACAGAAGAAACTTTTATATTGTTATATTGTTTATTATTKCTTTTTACAACATTGTATTTCACAGTATCATTCACAGGTTGAATTTAAAAAGGATCCTTTTTTTCACTGAAATAACACAAAATAGTTCTACAAAATATAGAACAATACAAGCAATAAAAAATCCTGTTTGTTATTAATCTACTCTTGATAGAAACTATTGGACAAGAAACAGACTTTTGGCAAAAACATATRTAACAGAAAGACTATCTATTTCACATCTTGACAGATAAAAAATATGCATGAATTTATTGGGTGGGCTGATGTCTTTAACACATCAAAATTGGAATAAAAATGGATTAGTATTCTTTGGATGTTGATATCTGCAAAATAAGATGAACATAATGTCAGTAACAAATCCATTTTACGTTCAGCAGCTGAGTATGTCTGTCACACATTGTAAGAGATTTCTCAGCAACTGGAATTAATAATTAAACAAATTTTAAAAAAATCATAAGTTATACCTTTATTGTACAATGATGTTATTGATAGGAATATGGATAAGCTTGACGAAAAACCCAATGAATCCCATAATTCCAAACCCAATTGCTGTTGCTAATGCAATTTTCTGAAATTCTAAAAATACAACACAAACATTAGAGGTTAATATTATAGTTGCTATGAGATACGATACAGTGAGTCTGATTGTCCTGAAAGTATTTTGTCTATTGGGAAAGAACCAAACACATGGTGGCAACTGTTTGTTACATAGTTGAAAATGTAACTTTTGTTAATTGTCAATTTATATAATAAAATGGACAGAAGAGACCTTACTAGTATTATTATTATTCAGTTTTAGAGACAAGAGTAGTCAAAAAAGTGAGGACAAGCACTCTTTTACAACCTGTGGTTCTCTTATCTCTTTTCTCTCATCACGTTTCTTTATGCTATAGAGCGGATTTCGTATGAGTGGAAAACGGACGGTACTGTACTGTGCCCGTAATGGTACTGTAACCAAATTCTAGTGTCCCTTTGGTTCACCAAAATTGTGCAGGCCAGGTGCGGTAACTATGCGGTAACGGTGTCCCACTCATACGAAATCCGCTCTATTACTGAACAGTGCATACAAAAGTCTCTTTCGTTAGTGACCCAAGTTTAGACTAAACTCCTTGTCTTAAATTAATCTTTCAAATAGTAGACATTTTCCCATTTTAGGTAAAATGTTTTGCTTTAAGTTTGACGAATAACTTCTATTAAAACATTAACACTAATACTTAAAAGCTGTAAACAATTAACAGTCTCATGTAATAACTTGAAACAGTTTCTCCTCGTCTTATGAAACAGTGATCTAAACAACGTTGAAAAGGAAAATCCAGAGGCAACTACAGAATGAAAGCGATTTGGTTACAACTTTTAAAATATATCAATAATCAAGAAAAAAATTTCCATCGAAACCCAGAGATATTGAAATCGATTATAAACTATTAAAATCCAATTTTACAAGGGAATATTAACCTTTTCTATCGGGTTTCGTACATCTCTTC